CTACTCAGGAGGCTGAGGCAGGAGAATTGCCTGAACCCAGGAGGCGGAGGTTGCGGTGAGCCGAGATCGTGCCATTGCACTCCAGCCTGGGTAACAAGAGCGAAACTCCGTCCCACCCCCCCCCAAAAAAAAAACAAAAAACATGAGTATGGTGAAGAAAAGGAAAGTGGGAGAGAAAAGGGGAAGCAAGGGAAAAAAGAGAGAGAAGAAGAGTGAAAATGGTTGCTTGAAGTAGAAACTAAGGGCTGGATGGCAAAGTCTTGAGGGGTGGAGACATCCTGGTTATGGCTTTAGAGCCATTTGCAGAGTTCCAAGTGCCTTGGCTGGGAAACCTTTTTCCATACACATCTGTCAGCCCTGTATACATTTCCTTCATACATGGGGAGGAAAAGATAAAGTGAAGAGCAAACACTTGGGGGAGCTCAGTTCCACTGAATCAAGTGACCCTGAGTTAGAGGAGACGATGGCGGAGATTTCAAGCTCATTCACAGTAGGAAGGCTGCCCATGCTCTTGGGGCACTTTAGGGAATGAGGGGGCAGTTTCCTGGAAATAGAGAAACACCATCTAGACAGCCCCAGGAAGCTTCCATAACGCCAGGTAGGAAATGCTTCCAGGAGACCGGAATATATTTCCCAAAGATGTCTAGACTATTTCGCCTAGAAGGAATGAAGGAAGGCTCTACTTCTTTTTGAATAATCTTTGAAACTACCTCAGAGCCCTCACAGGGCTGTTCACCATTTATCTCCATCCTAAAAACTCAGTACTATGTAGAGTTAAAAAAAAAAATCATATCCTTTTATGGCAAAAGTTACATCACAACTCCTAGAGCAATGCTGTCTACTCCTTATATGTAGCCAAGATCTTCAATGAGCCAATCCACATTCCTGATTTTTTCAAAGGGTGAAAAACCTCTTGTTCCTAACTCCCCTCACATTATTTCTGATGGATAAAAAAGCTTATCATAGTTCACAAAATGCATGCTCCAAGAAGCTTGCATTTCTGAAAAATTGCTTAATATATGGAACATATTCTATGAAAACGTATTTTCAAATTCCAAATGCTGTATTTCTTCTATCCATAGCCAGGTATCTGTGGGCCCCCACCCAAACAAAGACAGCACATTATTTTTGCTGGTGAATGTAACAATATTTTCCCCACTTTATTAATGCCTCTGGCTAGTAAAGTTCCTGCCTGACAAATATGTCCGTGTAACCCATTTTTACCGCAAATGCAACCCCTCCCCAGGACCCCAACCAAATTCACCCAAAGGAACTAGATAGATGTGCTCTGAAGGAGGATGCCAAAAGGCCCCTCAAGAAGGCGACTCACCTTTCTCGTGGCTGCTTGGTGGTGGGGGTGGGGAGGTGACCGGTTTGGACTTGTCATAGTTGTTAAAGCTCTGGCTGCGCCGGTTGTTAGCAGTAGCTGACCCTCCGCGTGTTTTGGCCTCGCTGCCTGCAGCGGATACTCTCGCGGTAGGACCTGGAAGTCTAAAACACAAAAGCAACAGGATAATGCACTCCGTCTCAGTGTGTGGGAAGAAGGAACTGCACCATGCAGAAGGTTAAAGAAACTACCCAAGCCATTGTGAGGAGGTTTCCAGTCAAAGAATTTGGTGGAACCATTACAAACATGCAGGCAGGTAATGACCCCAGCAAAGTCCAGCAGCAAAACGTGAAGCTTTCCTTTGAGCAGAGTGAAAAATTCTGAGGAAGAAATATATTTGTCGATTAAAAATTCAAAGTTCAACATGGCAAAATCCCATCTGTGCAGGCATGGTGGAGGGTACCTATAATCCCAGCTACTCGAGAGGCTGAGGCAGGAGAATGACTTGAACCCGGGATGGGGAGGTTGCAACGAGCTGAGATTGCGCCATTGCACTCCAGCGTGGGTGACAAG